TTTTATCCATCGTTTTTCCATCAATGTCCATATGTCAACTTGAAATCCTACACGTGTATCTACTTTGATTATTTTTGCTTCGACAGCGGCATCTGAATGATAACAGAATTTTCTGCTTACATGTTTTCTTAAAAGTGTTAGATATGCGTTGGCAGTTTCATTGTCAATAGTAGCGGATGTTTGGAATGAATTGGATGTGTGCAAATCTGTAACAATTGTCGAAGCAGGTCTTACTTGATTTGTTCGGGACATTTACATAAATCTCTTTAGTGTATTATCTAAATTACAAAAAATATGTCTTTTTTTCAATACACTGAAAATTTAAGGGAGTTCAAGTTTGTATCTGAAAAAATTCTGCTCCTGTTCTTACTTATACACAATGATGCTTCTTTCGAGGTGCATCACTTTCTCTTACCTTTCAATGCCAGACTCTTGACTTTCTTGCTATGTCTTCGGCCTCAAGTCTATCAATCTCTGAATAATAACAGCGATGGCACTTCTTCAATAAAAACAAAAGTCTTCCATTGAGCCTAATCTGATTCTACGAATTTTCCAGATTTTACATTATTTATTTCATTTTTTTAAAACAATAGAGTCGATCGACTTACTCACTCATGTGACCAGGCTATGCTGAAATGGCAGATTCTACCAGTTCAACAATATTAGTCGATCAGAGAGTTTCATTATCATGAAAAGATAGCCCATGGTCGACAATTCCTATTGTACATATCCATTATATCTGTAGCAGCAGATCTCAACGTACTATTATACATCTCAATCAGTTCACGCTTTATTTTGACCATAGAAAACTGTATCAAGTCAGTGCATCATTGTCCATCATACTTGCCATCTTAAATGCAAATTTTTATTGGCACAAAAATTAAAAAACAAGCGCACTATTTAAAACATTCAGAAGCGTATTCCTACCATGCAACTTTCGAGGAAGGCTATGAAAAGTTCTAGAACATTCTGAGTCATGTCATTCGGCAACCTTGCTCGTGATAAAAGAGCTCTCGAAAAGGAATTTGCTGCATGTTGTCATCGATTGCTAAAGTCTATAGTGGAGACTGTTTTCTTTGAAAATATATATGTGAGTTTATATCTTAAGGATAAATAATCCATTTCAGCTGAACATACAGTTTGTTGCCACTTTGGATGTATTAATCTATTGTAAAAATATGAGTCAAATCGATGATTTCCATTGAGCCAGGCTCTACTGAAACTGACTTTGGCTTATGTGTAATATCTTCTACAGAAGCATGAAATTATAAGAATTATGTTAATAGTGAAGTACTAATTCTACTGTCTAGAGATGTTGATATTCAGGAGTATTCAGATTAATACGAGGCGAACCCGTAGAATCTGTTTTTTACGACTTGGCAAACCGTAAGTGGTAAGTATATAATTTCTAAATACACTTCATGATATTATTCTTCATCAACTTTGAGTATGGAGGGTGAGGAAGTACGCTAATGGTTTCACATAATCATATAAGAAAGAAGATAATCAAAAATGCCTTCAAGACGACTATGCAATCTTCAAATGACCTAGTGAAAAACTTAAATGATTGTTCGTCCACAAGATCACATTTTTTTAGCGGTCTTTAAACATGTATCGCATATTGTGTTTTGAAATAGATATTTGCTAGAATATATTGACTATATCATATGAAACCACCATGAAACATTGAAAAGTATCTAACTAGCGGAGAAAATTTTATATCAGTGACCAAAATATAGCCTATTGTGATCTTGTTGATAATAGAATTTTATTAACCTACGAGTGTACATGCAAGAGAATCAACTACTTACTTTATCAAACAACGAAAAGTAAAGTCTAAGAAACACAGTTTATTGCAGAGCTATTAATTGATTTATCATACCTCTCGAATACCTAACTATTTACTCATTCTTTTATCTAACAATCACACAAGAGAGAGAGATTAGTCTAGGCAAATTAAAAAAAAATGTAATTAAGCGAAAGTCAAACTTTTTTTTCTTAGTTATACGTGCGTTTTATAACTTTTGGTTAACTGAGGCAATTGCTCAACGCATAATCGACATTGAGTTTTAAAACTTTGATAACACAGATGTTTAGCTTCTACTCTCTCTCTTAAAACATATTACGCGACACATTACTCGGAATATTTACCATGCGAATCGTCAAGAGATTTACCTTAAGAATGGTAGGGTTTCTTTTATTTTGAAAAGATAAGAAACACCAATATACAGAACATACTCATCTCATATCAAGTCAATCATGTTAGTATATCTATGCAACTATCTTTTACAAGTAGGTAATAACTCTTTAAAGACAGTGTTGATAGAGATTAAGACATAAAATAAAACTCTTGTGTAGAACTCATTTATGATGGTAAATACTATAAAATGATGAATTCCATTACAGGCACTTGCATTTTATCTGAATCTGTCCACTATCAGGTTGAGTTAACTGAGAATGACTTCTTAGAGAATATGCAAGGAATCAATAGTTACAGTATTATGATAGCCGAAAGTTTATAGCCAGTTCTTCTTTTAAAACTCATTGCAGTGTATAGCAAGTAACAAAGACAGTAGTATCTCTAGTGAGCGAACGGTATCAACTAATCGTTTCTTCTTTGATAAATTGCTTTTATTATTAACATAAGCAATAAAATATAAAATAAAAGCCAAATTCACCTTTGTCAAGAACTCATAAATAGTATGAGAACGACTTTTATGTCTGAATGCAGCTTAGAAACAATAGCAAAACATAAAATGTTGATTCAGCAAGCTGGACTTCAAACCTATGCAAAATTAGTGCCATGTTTGAAACGATATTGTTAATTAATGTTATCATTCTGATACTAGACTAATCAAAGCACTAGAGGTTATAGTGCTTAAATATTCACTCGTGCAATAATATGTCTGTTAACGATCGCGTAATTCCTACATATATCGTACTTGAGTGAATCGAACTAGCAATGGAGTAGGTATGTACTAGTTCCATGTTTGAACTGATTGATTGATATCAGACTGAGTACCTATTCAGCCTTATCGATACCAAGCCCAACTGGTGCTCACCTGCACGAAAGGTTGGCATGCCATGACGTGCATAGCATTTTACAGAAACTTTCACTTACTATATTATCTCATTTTCGACTGTAGAGTCTCCCAAATTTCATCAACACACATTGATCTCATGATCTCACATGATATGTCAATTTTACATCTGCGAGATGCCATGTGATTTGTTGGATAAGCTTTCTTTCAAGGGTAGGATGAATCACTTATCTCTTATATATGTGTGTGGATATGCATATTATCTTCATCCATCACATTTTCTTAAAGCACTGTTTTAATCCTTGTACTTCATTTTAATTTGTTTTTGTTATTCAATCGTTTTCAGATCACATTCTCTTCATATAAATACTGACGTCTATTATCTTGAACAATAAAAATTACTTATAAAAGAAAGGAATGGGATGCAACGGCTCTACAACCATAACGCTCGAAAGGCTTCCTCCAGGTTTGTTGACAATGGGAATTGTATTTAGTTACTATGCGCTCATGTTTGAAGAATACATTGCTTTATTTTTGATCTTGGGGAGGGTGAGTGGTACAGCTGCGTGTGGAAATGTGTATCAATGTCTTTTCTTCACGTGAACGCCAACATTCATATTGTCACCTACTGCCATATCCGGGGCCACGGTCAAACTCTCGCACATATCCTCATCCTCACTACCTACATTCACACCCACCCAAATCTACTCTGTTTGACGTTTTCATTATGCTGAGATCTTGTCGAAAGTAACATTTACAAGATTTATTTATTTTACAGCCTCTACATACCGTGATAATCGTCGAACACTTCAATCGAATCCGTCGAAGTATCAGGTAAAACGAAATTTCTATACGATAGAAGTATTTTGCATATTGAATAGATAATGCGTAACATATATCACTGATACGTACTTGGTATTTGAGGAAAATAATATTTTCAAGCGAAAATAATTGATCATTCGACAAGACTATTCACTTGGAAAAGACAAATTTTCTGTCTTTCAATACTAATTCATCAGATAACAGTTTAGTACTCATAACAAAACAAAAATTTAAGACTATATTCGATAGTTTTCACTATCGGTTATTTTAAGGAAACAGATTTGGTTCCGATTTAATAAAATTTTACAGTTAAAAAGTCGTTCAATATTCATATCGCTTAGGTAATTTTCCTGAGACTGTAACTCTATTCGATGAACTTTATGAAAGCAAATCTAGTTTCTTGAATTTGTAAAAGATGCTTTTCTGAGTCCAAACTTAATAGTTGGAAAATTTATTATGAAGTTGTACTAGATTTCTTGTCAATATTTCCTAGATCAAACTCAAGCAAAACGAGGTTGTTAACGTTTTTTTCATCTTAGATAATGGAAGTTAGAAATTATTAGAGTAAATATCAATAAAGTAGAGAGCAATTTTCTAATTTAAAAAAGCTTTTTTTCCAACCAATTTCAACAAGAGGATGATATCAGACAGCACAAGTGTCTTTAGTGAACGAAACAAATCTTTTAGGATTTCTGAATAGTTGAGAATCATCAGTAATTAATGTACTTACAGTTTTTTAGAGCATAGATTGATAAGATTACGGATATGCAAAGTCAATTTGCACCCTAGGCAATTTCAATGTGAGGGAATTCACATTGTCTTAATCACATAGGATGTTTAAAGATGATTGTATCTCAGATACTATTCTTGAGAAAATTCTATCCTTCATGGTAGAAAGTCAACGTCCAACACCAGCATATAAACATGACTTTAGATCTTTCAATAGATAAGTCACCAATTCTGCTAATAAGTATTAGATCTATGATATTCAGATATCGAGATCCGTTTCTAGAACGTTAATGGATGGCATTCTCTAATCAGTGTGTGGAAATTTTCAAAGTCAGCTTTTCAATTGTTTCTCTCGAAAATATTCAGTTGCGATGAAGAGTTATATTTATAATTTAGAATCAAAAGAAAATGGCAATCAAGTCAAAATCACGCTTAAACGCTAGTGATGATTTAAATGACATACACGAGGCACCATGTGATGAATGTGGATCACAATATATAATAGGAGATCGTTATAGATGCTTGGAATGTACCGATTTCGATTTGTGTGGCACATGTTTCGAGAAAAGACGAGAAACTGATGAGCATAAAAATGGACATGCTTTTGCACATTTTAGGATGCCAATGGAACTTTTTGGAAAGACTATTAAAGATGTCAGTCGTGAAGTTACACTATCTAAATTAATAGAACAATTCAAAAGTGTTCAACATGAAAAAATATCATGCGATGGTTGTAAAATCGAATCTATTGTTGGTATTCGGTTTAAGTGTGATACATGTTCTAGCTATGATTTGTGCTTGAAATGCAAGATTGCAAAAGTAGAGACCAATCAACATAAATCAAATCATCCACTAATTGTCATTGGAGAAAACAATCTTCAACAAATCGATATAAACGACATTCAATTAGGACAAAAACTTGGAGAAGGTGGTTTCGGTAAGATAAAACACATCTTAAATATATTTCAATAGATAAGGATGATTTTGATTTTTCTTTTGAAATTTACTGTCTCTGAATACTGAAGATAATATGTTATTGAAAATGGAAACTTTATAGATAATACCATATCAAAGTTTGATGCAATAGTGATTAAACGATTACTAATTTATCATCATCGAAGATGAATTATGGTTTTAGTGCACTTTTTACTATCGAGTTTTGCCTATGAACAGCAGCTTATCCATGATTCTCGTCAGTCAATCGCTCTTTATTCTTTGAAGCTGTGACCAACCAAAGGCTACTCATTTACAATCATTGTGGAAAAAAAACAATTTTACGGTTTCAACGAACAATGAATTCATGTAGCCTTGACAGATAAAAAAAATATCCCGAGTCGTTCACCCTCAAAAATCTAAGCCAAACAGTAGTGAAGGATGCTCACTAGTTCATCCATTTATATTACAGTCTTTAAATTTCACTCACAAACCTCATAAGCAGTCGATGAAATTCAAAGAAGAACGTAAAGAGCTTCATCTTCAAGGGGTGCACGAAATATGTCTACTCAATATATACAATTCAAAATAAACCCAAAAATGCTTATTTTATTTTGTTGAAAACCTATATGTTCAACATTAATCATCAGAAATCATCTAAACAAACATTTTTATTCTATTATTTAATTTTTGAATGTAAGCTCCACATTGTAGGATTGCTCTGAAAATTTTTTCAAGTACAATTAACAAGCTACTATTTCGTATCATAATAGAGATTGTATTATTCTAATTCGTTGAAATAGACCAGAAATCTTTATTAGATAAACTCTATCAAAATATTCTCAATAACTTGTTAAAAATCATATATTTAAACATTTGATTCATAGAAACGTATCATTTTTAGGTGCTGTTTACAAAGCTAAATGGACATCGAGAAATCGTGATGTAGCTTGCAAATTGATTTCCATTCAACCTACTCAAATACATTTGTTCCAGAGCTTCCAACGTGAACTTGCAGCTTATAACGAATTATCAGGTGCTTATATTCTTAAATTGTATGGTTATGCACTAAAGAAACCACAATCAGTAACAGATGATATGCAATGTGCTTTGATCATGGAATATATGAGTAGAGGTAGTTTGTCTACTGTTATAAAAGAGCATGAAAAGTTATCATTGAGCTGTAAGCTTGATATGGCTTGGCATATGGCAAGTGGTATGAGAAAATTACATGATCGGAAAATGATTCATCGTGATATACGACCTGATAATGTTCTTATTAACAAATACTACACGGCTAAAATTGGCGATATGGGTATTGCACGTGATTTAAAAAATACAGGACAATATATGACAACTATTGGCTGTCAACCGTATATGCCTCCCGAATTCTATACGGAGAATTATGATCAGTCTCTCGATGTATTTACTTTTGGACTAACATTGTATTATCTGTTCGTGGAGAAAAATCATTTATTCCATGAACCGACAAGAAAAATTCTTCTACCAGAGAAAAGTCCGATTTTTGACGAATTAATTCGATACTGTGTTCATGATGATCAAAATCAACGACCTTCAGCTCTAGAATTGGAAACTACATTCGTAACGTACAAACGTGTCTTCGAGAAACATATTCGAGTTCATCATCAAAACTATGAAGAACAATCTGTAGAAGTTAAGAATCGTATTTTTCAAGAATTTTATAATTCTTTTCATCCAAAAGCAAGTGCAGCACTCAAAGAAAAATTTCCCAAAGCATCTTCACGAGTTCAGACTATTATTGATCCAGATAGTGTAAAACAATTCTTACTTTTACTTTTACAAGCAGCGGCACAAGAGGAATGAGAAGGGTGATCAAATATTATGAAAGTATCTAAAACGATGCCAGTTTTTTAATGAAAAGTCACTAGTTTGTGTTGTACACTATCGTAAGAATAAAGTCTACAAAAATGCATATGTATGTCTACTTCATAGAAATAAAACATTTTTCAACATAACAACATTCATAAATCAATTGTATGCATGGAGTATTTCATTTGTATTTTTTTACGGTCAGTAGAGGCCAATGGACTTGTGCCTAGAATGAGAGTAGATGAAGAGTGTTGGTGTAGACATGCGTTGTTTCGATAGTGACATCTTCAATCATCCAGTTAGACTGACAAACTCATACGCACTGTTTTTAGAATCATCATTTGAATGATACTTTCACTATTTACTGTTATAATGGTGTACTTTTTAATGATAATTGTTAGCGGCATAATATGCCGTTTTCTAAACTAGCATGATAAGCAACCAATGGATATAAAAGTTGCATGTGCGTATATTTGTTTTGCTGAAAAGTCTTATTCGCGCTTCAATAGTGTCATCGGTGCAGTATAATTCGTTTGAAAACGCTTGTTAGCGCAGCTCCTGCGGAGCTGAAATGTGGAACTCACGTATACCTTTAGCTTTGTTACCTGACGCATCATTTGTATACTGAAAGACTTCTCGTCAACTATAGTTGTTTTCCTTGAGAATCGATGAAAAGAGCAGGAATTTATTATT